CACACACATGTTCTGACCTCAGGCTCAACTTGAACCTCAAAATTTCACCTATGCCATCATCCTGTGCTGTGCCTCTCCTCCCCATGCCAATCCCCACAAGAACGCGCCCTTGCCCCCCAGGGGCACACCTGCATGGCGTCTGCCGCCCTGTACACCGGCTCCACGTTGTCTGGCCCCAGGTCAATGCTGCTGGCGTACAGCGCCCCCACCATCAGCTCAAGCAGCTCCTGGGGGGATGGGTGGGGTGGGTGTTGATGTGTGCGTGTGTGTGCGTGTGCGTGTGCGTGTGTGTTTCAAGAGGATGGGTGGTGAGGCGCAGGCAGTTATGGATACAGGCGCACATGCATTATTTAATGGGTGGAAGCCAAAGCCTAAAACTCGTTCGAGCGCGAGGGGGTGGTGCAGCATGCCGCCCAGCAAACGCGTGCCTCCAAGCAGCAGTTGCTGGTGGGCACTCTGCCGGGGGCAGGGCGTCGCATGTTTTGTGGCACGTGGCGCGCACCTGCTCCATGCAGCAGGGGATGACGACGCAGCTGGCGGCGGTGCCCGACAGCTCGTGGCGGTTGGCCATCAGCAGCTGGGGTGGCGGGGTGGGGTTGAGGTGCATGACAACAGGGGTTGAGGGCACCGTCAGGTTGTACGTAAAACGTGCAGGCTCAATGAACACATTAGCAGTGGTGGGGTGATGGCCGGCGCTCGGGGCTTGTCGGCTGCTAGGCTGCAGCGGCATGCCGCAGCTGCGCGGCGACGGCGTGCTCTGGCCATCGGCTTGCCGGCGTGTGCACGTTTCGGGGCCGTGCTGGCGGCAGCCACCGCAGTGCCGCAGCACCTTGCGGTTCGAGTACAAGTGCCCCGGCGCGCGTGCATACCAGGCGCGCCACCGTGTCCACTGGCTGCTATGCAAGATCAACAGGCGACCCGCACAGATGCCCCACCAAATATTCACGCAGCCCGACCCTACAGGACCCGCACACCCCACACAACCCTCCTCCTCCTAGGCGAGCCAAGGCGCGCCCAACAATCTCCCACCTGGAACCAGTGGCTGTTGCGCGCTAGGTCCACCGCCGCCAGCTTCACCGGCCGCGGGTGGCCGGCGTCCGCCACCAGGCCCACGTTGAACAGCATGGAGTCGTGCCTGCACGTGGTGACGTCACGGTGATGTCAGATGCATGCCGCACACAGCTGGGCAGGTGCACCTCCGTCATGATGACTCTGCATGCGGTCTGAGTTCTTTCGGATTATCAGCTGCCGCCTGTGCTCACAAGCCCGTCCCGCTACCGCAACTGCAGGCTGCCTACCCCTCCACCCCTCCACCCCCAGATGCCGTCGAATGATGCACCCCCAAAGCCCCTCAACCGTCCACCCCCAGGTCCCCGAGGCGCCGCGCCTGTGGTCGTTCCAGTAGCTCCAGTCGCTGCTGGTGGGCGTCATGAGGGGCACAGTGGCAGGCGCCGGCCTACGGCAGCCCAACGCGCCCAGCCGCGGCCGCCACGCCACCTGCGGGGACGCTCCAGGGGGCAGCTCGTCCCCCAGCGCCGGCCCGCCGGCCCCCGGGCCCGGCGGGAGCGGCGCGGCCGGCGATGGGAGGCGCTCCAGCGGCAGCTGCTGCAGCGGCTGGTGCAGCAGGGGCGGCTGCGCCGCCGCAGGGCCGGCTGCGGCCGTGGGAGGCTTTGTGGCGGGGTCGAGCTTTGGAGATGCGGCGCCGGGCGACACTGCAGGCGTGCTGATCTGAAGCGGCACAGCTGCCAGCTGAGCAAACGCCGACAATGCCAGCCTCGGCCGTTGCTGCTGCTGCTGCTGCTGCTGCTGCTGCTGCTGCTGCTCTTGTGCGATGCGGCCCTGCCGCCCCTCGTCAAGCCGTGAGCTCGCACGAGCCTGTTGCGGCCGCAGCCCTTCGCTGCTCAGCAGAGCCAGCAGAGCGCGCTCCTGTTCCAACTCCTGCTCGTCCTCCTGTTGCTGTGGCTGCTGCTGCGGGCGCGGGGGAGGGCCCCGCGGCCCAGGAAGCTGCAGCGGCGGCAGCGCCGGCGGCTGCATGCCAGCCTGCTGGGGCGGGCGCGCAGCCTGCGGGGCCCGCGCAGACACTGGCGCAAGCTGGGGCGGCGCAGGCGACACATGCTGCTGCGGGTTGGCGGGGGCTGGTGCATTCCAGGGCCGGGCTTCAGCATCAATGGTGAGTGTTGGTCCATGCCGCTGCTGCTGCTGCTGCTGCTGCTGCTCCTGCTGCTGCTGGGCAGGCGGGGCCAGCTGTTGCCTTGATGGAGGAAGCGAGGACGCTGACGAGGCCCTCCCCATGCCTGGCGGCGAGAGGGAACCGCCATCCACCGCATCGCCCCACTGCTGCGGCAGGCTGCCCGCCGTCTGCCAGTGGGCGCCGGCAGAGAGTGGCGAGCACGCCTGCGCCTCCGCTCCCTGTCGCCGCCCGGGGGTCAAAGCAGAGGCGCTGCCGCCGTCCATGTGGTGTGCAGCTGGCATGGCCGTGGCGATGAGCCCGGGCCGGTCGCTGGCAGCCCCATGCTCGCGTGACGGCGCCTGTTCGCCTGCGTTTGTGCCTGCTCCCGCGCCTGGCAGCAGCTGCGCCTGGGGCAGCTGCGGCTGCGGCCGAGGCGGCTGCGCCTGGCGGCCCTGCAGCTGCTGGTGGATAAGATACTGCTGGTGAGCCCGCTGCTGCAGTGTTGGGGCCAGGCTGCCCGCGGCGTCGGGCGCCCCGCTGCCTTCCCCGTGCGGCACCTGGCGCCGCGAGACCATGCGGCTTGCCGCTGCTGCTCCTCCTGCTGCTGCTGCTCCTCCTGCTGCTGCTGCTTCTGCTGCTTCTGCTGCTTCTGCTGCTGCTGCCACCAGAGAAAGCAAGCCTGCAACGTTGGCGGGACGCAGCAGCGCCTTGCGACCGGGGGTCTTGGTTTCGAAGTGGTGGCGCGCGCAGCGCCAGCGCAAGCAGCGGGTTGCGTTGGGCGGGTCTTGGGTGGGAGTTGAGCAGGACAGCCGCTGGACGGGTGCCGGCCACACCTACGTGTCGGAAGTCACGCTGAAGGCGATGTTGCTGGCCGCTTGCAGACCGCGGGCAAAACAGCAAATCGTGTGTTGTCAACGGCAATGCGTACAGCACAGTCGATGCGATTTGCAAAATTTATACAGGTAAAAAGTGTCACTGGCTCCTGGCTCTAATGTACTTCAGTTCTTTGAGCAGACTGTGCCACCATCGGCAGTCACCGACAGGCTGACAGTCTCCCTCGCTTCCTTGCTGGCACGCACGAGGTGCGGCATGTGCCGCGCTCAAGGCATGCTGTACAGGCGTATCTATCACCATCGCTAACATCCGCATATCCAATCAAGCGGAGGAACTCGGACGACGCTTGCCAGTTGCCAAGCGCCGTGCTCGTGACGGGTGGGAGGCCGCCAGCAAGGGTCTTGTAAGATATTGATCTGATATTCTGGCTTCTTTTGGGCCCGAGGCTCTAGATCGTTGGTGTGTCACTCGCCCCAGAGCCTTCACCACTTCGAAGCAGGTGAGGTCCAGGGTGCTTTGCCGGCCCAGTGTGATAGACACTCACGGTTGAACGCGCCTAATGTCTTGGCGGAAGGGCAAGGTGGAAGGTGACCCCATGGCAGCCACTGTTGGGGGCCCGCGTCGCGCTGCCGGCGGCGGGACGGCGCCATTCGGCATTGGGCACAGCAAGGATTCTATGCTGCGTTGCGTGGCCCACTTCCACAGGATCAGCCTGCATGCCTGTACGGCAGGTGCAGTGAGCGACCAGGGCAGCTTCCTTCTGCGTGCGGGTGACCGAGAGCAGCAGACCCCGTCCACACGCAGCGGACAGGTGCGGCCATGCAGCGGCCTGTGGCGCCTAAAAGCGACGGGCCAGGCGTGCATCGGCGGCGTACCGCGGCGGCGGCGGCAAGCATGGTCGCTCTAGTGGCGGTGCTGGTGCTGTCGGCAGCGGTGGGAGCGGCAGCGCAGCCGCGAGTCATGCCCAAAAAGGAGCCAAAGAAATGCGGCGGCATCGGGGCAAAGTGCTGCCCCCAGTGCCCGCCAGACACGCCTTTGACAGGTGAGCTGACAGCCCAACAAGTGCAATCCAGCGGCAGGCAAAGGGCTTGTGCTTACGATGCACAAGGGTGGTGGCCAAGCGCACCCGCTCTGCAGGACTGCTTCGGCTGCACCTGAAGGGCACGCGCGCCCTTGCATGCACGCGCATGCATCGAGGGTTGACAGGGATTTGTGCCACAGCAACTGCTCACAGGCAACAATTCGGCAATGCTCCGAGCGTGGCTGTCCCCTTCCTTCAGCCAAGGGTGCCAACATTTGGCCTGCAGCAATCCCCATCCACGCAACACCACCTGCCGCCCACTCCCACTCCAATGTGCACACCTCCACACCCACACACCCATACTTGGACCCGCATACCCCTTCAAACGCACACGCCCGCGCACCCGCACGCGCCCCCGCTCGCAAATGCTCCGTTTTATCACATCGCAGCGTGTGACCAGTGGTCGTGTAATGACGGCGCACAGTGCTACATGTTTGCCAACGAGGGGGGCGTTCCGCCAGACGGTGAGCAGACGCGCCGCACAGCCCGACACGCGGGGCTGCCGCCAGCGGGCGGCACTGCCACAGGCCGAGCGAAACCGTCTTGGCCCTGTTGATTTGGGTGCAGCGACATGCGTGATGCGGCGCCCGGCGCCCGTCTCTCCTGCCTCGCCACCTCATTCGGTGCAACCCACTCTGCTGCCCACTGCGCCGCGCGTCCAGGCGGCGACGGCTTCCCCATGGCGTGCCTGGCGACCCCAAAGGACTGCGGCCGCGAGGGCAAGGCCTGCTGCTACAACTTTGACCCAGCCAGTGAGACCCGTAGACGCGCCGCAGACTGCGCATTCATTATTTGGCTGTGCGCAGCCCGCCACTGCCCTTCCTCGCTCCAGCACGAGGAGACATGGGCGGCCCTCTGCTGCAGGCAATTCTCACGTGCGAACAGCGCAGATATGATTGTGAGACTAATTGCCCGCGCTGCGCGGGCCGACCCTGGATCTCCCGGCTGCTCAACCCCTCTACCCCACCTACCCCCCCCCCCTCCTGGCCCGCATCCACACCGCCAGGCGAGGACAGGTGCCAGGCCGGGCTGTCCTGTGTGGCGGAGGGCATCATCCCCTACAGCAGCTTCGCCCAGTACACAAACCTCACCAAGAATTTCACGGCGACGAGCGACCCCAAGGTCATGGGCGTCTGCAGGAAGTTCACAGCCGCCGACTGCGGCCAGCTCTGGCGCCCCTGCGGCGGCGCGGCAAAGAAGCTGGGCTGCTCCGGCGCCGCGCTCAACTGCGGGCCAGGCGCGTTCTGCGCGTCGCCTGGCGACACGCGCCTCGGCGGGCCCCGGTGCCTGCCGCTGCCGGCGGGCTGCGGCAAGCTCGGGTCCGCGTGCTGCCCGCCCAACAAGGACGGGATCGTGCGGGAGCGGTCCTTTGTGGATAAGAAGACGCCCGTGCCGTTCTGCGACGACGGCGGCAGCATGTGCGTGTGGGCCTATGAGGACTTCAACAAGTATGGGACGGCCCAGTTCCCGGACTCCCCAGGTGAGGCTCGCGGCGCACGGACCGCAGCGCACGGACTGCGGCGGCGGTCGCTGCGTCTAGCGCGCGTGGTCCGCGGCGTCAGCGGCAGCAGCGGTGTGATGGCGTGGTTGCAGCAGCTGGGTTGGAACCGTCCCTGTTGTGACACGGCGGCGGTTGCGCGGCGTCACAAGTCATTCTTCTTGATTCAGCCTGGCAAGCCTTGTGGTTGCTGTTCTTCGCCTACCAGCGTGTGTGTGATTGGAGCGACCCCACCCCCGGGCCAAATGCCCCCAAATGCACACCCCACCGCCCCAGGTGTTGAGCCCTACAAGTGGGACGGCGTCTTCCAGCGCGGCTACGGCCGCTCGCGCTGCGTGGCCCTGCCCAAGAGCTGCGGCCAGCCGGGGGAGGTGCGTTTCCCGCGGGTCAAGGCACCGCCACCACCACCCCTGCACTACGCTATTCCCTCCTGCGAACTTGCGCTTCACCACCACCACCACACATACACATGCACACGCACACGCGCACGAAACCCACCATCCATCACCCATCACCACCATGCCTGGGCCTGCGCTTGTATACCGTATGACCCCGTCACAAGGTGTTCTGCCGCTCTTTCCACCCTGGTCGCTGCCGCCTCATGCGTTGACGCGCGGTCAACCACGGTCAAACCCCTCGCCATACTGCACACCCGCAGTCCTGCTGCGCGAGCATGATGGACCAGCGCATCAGCGGCCTGGTGCACAACCGCGTGTTCCCCTACCAGCCCTGCAACTACCGCGCCGCCGGCAAGAAGGGCATCTTCTGCAAGGGCCAGTGGCAGGGCGGGCTGCTGAACAGCGACGCTGTCCTGGGGGTGTGCACCCTCAACCCCGAGGACTGCGGCCAGGTGGGGGCAGGAGGGGAAGCAGCTGCTGTGTGGGTGTGGGGTGGGGTGGGGGTTGCATCAGCCACTGCCTCTGAATGGTGCTGGGGTCGCTGTCAGCTCACAATACATGTCGGGAAGGTCTGGCGGATGCTGCACGCATGCGGGCATCGCCCGCCGTCCTCCTGTCCTATTCGCGAGCATGCGCCTGCTGCCTCACCCCGCCCCCCTCCCCCCTGCTCATGCGCACCCGCGCCTGCAGCCCAACAAAGCGTGCTGCGTGAACGACATTCCGGAAGTCGGGGGCGCAGTGGGCACCTGCAGCGCGGGGCCGAAGCAGGGCGGCCCGCGCTACTATTGCACCAAGCAGCAGCAGTGCGACAAGTGCCCCGACAAGCTGGTGGGTGCAGCCTTGGCGGCGGTGGCGGCGGGCGGAGGGGTTGATTGGGGCTGCTGCGGGGAGGCGCAAGAGCTTTGTTTGTTTGGGAAGCAGGTGGTGGAGACCGCCGTGTGCGAAGCACCCCCCTCCCCTCCCCCCGCATACATCCTCTCTAGCCTTGGACTAAGCAAACCGTCAAGCAGCCGCCCTCCACCCATGTCTACTGTTGTCGACCATCGCATCCTGTCGACGCCCACCCTTCATACGCTCATGTCCCCGCACTAACCCGCACTCCTGATGGCCCCGCAGGTCACGGACGAGCAGAAGCAGAACTGTTTCCCCACAATGGGCTGAGGGGCCAGTGCTGGTGTAGGCGCCACGCTCTCTTCCTGCTGCAGCGCCGCAGCCAGGCGCGGCCGCCCCTGCTCCGGCTCAGATCAGCCCTCCGCGAATCGCCTGGGCCGCTGCCGCAGCGCGCCGCATCACACGGACACCTGCGACCCACCCAGCAGCCGTGCCTGTCGCTCGTACACACTTTCTTTACATACCCACTGCCGACTTTGTGCCTTCGAGAGGCGCGCCCCTCACCTGGCCGCTGCTTCGGCCGATTTCACGAGGTCGCCCCCTACCCCTCAGCCCCGGAATCAACACCAGCGTGCGTGTCTGGTGGCCGGCGTCGTCGCTGCGGCGGCGCAGCGGCGAGGCAGGGGCTGAGGCCCGCAAGGCCGCGAATTGTCACGCTCCATCCTCAGCTCGTGTGCGTGCCTCGTTGCTCTTGGTCTCACGCCCCACTGTGTTCATGCCTGTGGCAGGGGTTGTTCATCTTTTGGCATTCGTCTCAAAAGATCCCTCCACAGCAGGAGGGGCTGCCCGGCCCTCATTGAGCGCACCGCGGTTGCAGAATGCAGGCTGCAGGAGCCCGGGGCAGCATGTCAGCACAAAACCGTCCGAAATCAACCGCTGTCGTACAGCACAGGAGTATCCCTTTTCATGGTGCTGGCTCCCTGCCCCGCTTCCCCATCACCGCGCGCTCTCGAGTCGGCATTCCTCAACGCCCATGACAGCCGCCCAACCCCGGCGCGTCTGCCCCAACCCGCAAGAAGGCGGCAGGTCGAGGCGGCGGGGCTGCCCTTGACCCCCCGCTTGCCTCTGCCCTTCTGGCCTGCATGTCCTCTTGGTTGCAACGAGCACCCCGCCCCTTTGCTGGCGGCCGGCGAAGTACAAAGTTACGAACCAATTTGCTTTCTTGCTGCAGCGGAGTGTTATTTGTTTGAAACCCCTCATCACGGTCAGGCCCAGACGTGTCACCAGGCAAGCGTGTGATGCGCGTAGCGCCAGCTGTGGCGCAGCGAGCTCGGGGGCATGAGAAGGGTCTCTGCGTGCCTGCCTGCTGTGCGGATGCTTGTGTTGCACATGACAGCTCTGACGCGACGCGAGCGGATTGATGTCTCAGCTGTTCAAACCACAGGGTTCTTTCCGTTACAGCCCCTGCGGATACAGCAGGATCCGACAGACATGGATAGCCCTGATAGCACCATCGTGCAGGGTCCAGCATTACTCTAGAGGAGACGGGTTGGTTTCTTGCGGCATGAGAAGCAGCATGAGATACAAGTGGCGGCCGTACCGCATCGACGGCCAAAAAACGCGGTGCACGCTACTTGGTGAGGGGCCACGCCAATCGACCGCCGGGCCGGTCTGGGGCGTCAGCCGCGTTGACGGCCGTCAAAACCCAAGAGCCATCAGGATCAGCGCCGTGATGCGGGGTAACCTTTGCTGACGGAGGGGCGGTCGGGCTGATCGGCCGGCAGAAAGAAGAATGGTAAAGCGGGGCAATCAAACAACGGCAGCAAACCGGCGCCGGGGAGCCTGCCGAAACTGCTCTCACAGTTGCGCTGTTGGCATCTCAGCACTGACACCCCCCTCCCCCCGGATGATGAATGAACGTGCGCTTCGAAGTGTGAGCACGGCCGCACCAATCATCATACCCATCACCAGAAAATTCCCAAAACCAAATGAGGCGCCGCTGGGGTGCTGCGACACCGCCTGGCTGGGGCACGCGCGTCACGAGGGCCGAACGCGACCTCCTGCAAACGAGACCCTCTGGAGGGCCCCAGGCGGCAGGCCTGCCCACTGGCAAATCGCCTGTGTGGCAAAACCCTTGAGAGCCTCCAGCCCACGCGTCAAACGACGTCACTCCAACGTCGCTCGTCACTCGGAGGACGTCGCCGACGCGTCACCCACCAGCTCCGGCGGCAGCGCGCTGGCAATCGCGCGCCGCGCCTCCTCGCAGACCGCATCGGCGTCAGCGCCGGCGGTCTGGATGGGGGGGTGCACCACGATGGTCACGTGGCCCGCGTACATCTCCCTCTCCCGACCGCTGGGCATGACATCACCTGGCAACAAGATGACATCACCATGACACAAGGTTGGGCTGTGGTGAGGGATTCGGCTAGGGTGTGTGCGTGTGCTTGGCGACAAAGCACAAGCTCACGCCTGCGAGGTGTCGGAACGGGGCTCAAAACACAGGCTTGGGTGCGGCGTGGCGGCACGCGAACCGGGAAATCAGGGGGCGGCTGCGTGTATAGTATCTGCGCACGGGAATGATGCACACACTCGCAACCCCGCAGCCGTGAGCAACCAGGGCAGCCCAGCGAAACCAGCCCAGGGTGGGCAAGGCAGCGGCGGCGGCGCGTGCGTCGGCGCACCCGTGCCGATGAGTGTGATGGGCACGACCTGGGCCTTGGCCTTCACGGCCACGCTGAACGCTCCCTTCTTGAAGCCCCCCATGACCTTGTCGCGCGAGCGGGTGCCCTCGGGGAAGAAGAGCACGCTCGCACCCTACCACCAGGGGAAACGAGGCGGGGATGGCGGTTGCGGTGTGGGGG